CCGGAAACAGCGTAGTCTCCAGGCGAAAGACAGAACATGGGACTCCCAAAGCAACTTTCCCATGATTCAGCGGTTCCCTTCAGACCCTGGGACTCTCTTCTTTTTTTTTCTCCCTGAAGCGGTTGAAGCCAAAAGGACAGCTATGAATTTTGTGGGCCCCCTAAACAAAAGAACACACCCAAATGGAACTCACAACCCCGAAACATATCTTCATCGGTCAGAACAGGCGGTTACTCTCCCGAATCCCAAATTGGAAGCATACGAGCTCCGTACAAAATTACAAAAGTTGCCCCCTAGTCCTCGTCCTCCCCCACCGAAGAATCCACTATCAATACTGTTGTCAGTTGCTCGTATGAGCTGTAGTCAATATTCATTTGTCGCCAGTTGCAAGGGGCTTGGTGAGTAACCTCCCCGAGAGTCGCATTCCTCCACTAACCCGCCTCAAACAAACATGTGGACAAATCACATATGGGTGTCTTTTTTTAGGGGACCCCCCCCCCCCCCCCCCCAAGGTTGGCTTCTTTCAATAAGCGCCAAAAAGGGGTACCCGGAAAAAAAAAAAAAAAACAAACGACAAACCCATATCGACGGTCTGGGTCTCACTTCTCGAGTGGACGGCCCAAAAAAAGCCCGCACCTTTTCTTTGCCACTAAACATGAGACTTTCCAAGAAGGTACACAGAAGAAAGTCCAAACCTTTCGCTTCACCACTAACAAATGGGACTTGCCAACAAGGTATAAAGAAAAAAGTCCAAACTTCTTCTTCACCACACAAAACATGGGACTTTCCAACAAGGTATAAAGAAAAATGTCCAAACCTTTCGCTTCACCACTAACAAATGGGACTTTCCAACAAGGTATAAAGCAAAAAGTCCAAACTTCTTCTTCACCACAAAAAACATGGGACTTTCCAACAAGGTATACAGAAACAAGTCCGAACTTCTTCTTCACCACAAACAAAAATGGGACTTTCCAACAAGGTATACAGAAACAAGTCCAAACTTTTTCTTCACCACACAAAACAAAACGGGACTTTCCAACAAGGTATACAGAAACAAGTCCAAACCTCTTCTTCACCCAAAAACACAAAACCGTGACTTTTCAAGAAAGGCCTCAAGTCCAGAGTGTTCCACCGTTTGTTTTTGGGCGATCCCTGGGCCGGCATCCGGACGGAAAGCGCCGAGCGCCGTCGAGGCGCAGGTGCAAGGCGAAGCGCCAGAGCCCCGCGCGGGCCAAGGCGCTGAGGCAGGTGTTGCGGCAGCCCAGGTCTGCCAGGCCTCCAGGGGGTCAGTTCTTTTTTCTTTTTTATTGAACAACGCCAACTTTTAGTCATTTGCTTCTTTTTTTTCCAACTTGGTTCTGGATGCGAGAGTTTTGAAGAATTGGCTTTGGATGGAGTTTTGAATGGTTTTGATTGATTTTCGATTGAAGATATTTCAAGTGGCATTGCACGTAAGTGGTTAGCAATTAGCAATCCTGTTTCTTTCCTACTGAACGGAGACCAACCATGGCTTTTGTGGGTTATCTCACCATGGGTTATTACCCACTTGCCTGACTTACAATGCCCCAAGTACAAACCACGGACCTCCATTTGCCTTGCCCCTGGCAAAAAAAATGAAAATATGTCCAGTAGTGAAATCGATTTCCCTTTACAACCAACAAGGGACAATTCGACCAACCTCTTCATTTCAGTAAATGGAAGTGGACCCAAATTGATGCTTCCACCTCACCACCACACCCTGCCTAGGTCCTCCAGTAGAGACCCTATTGTCCGTAGTCTATTTTAGGGGAACCCAAACACCCCGGAAAGGGTCCTAGCTGGGGGACCTGGCTGCCCACCTCCCCCCACCCCCCCACCGCCGCTCCCCGGAAGCGAAGCCTCGCCTGTGGCCTCCGCTTCTGCCAGCAGCTGCAGCGCTTGTCGCCACTTCCGTGCCCGGCCGCAGGCGCCCAGCGCGCCCGTCACCGCCTCCCCGCGAGGGGGGCCGGGGGGGGGGGAGGGGTTTGGGGCCCATGGCGGAAAAAGTGTCGCGCGATTTTGTTTGCTTGTTTCTTTTTTGAAGGTGAGTGTTGGCGGCTTTTAATTTGGGATGGTGCGTGTGCGAGCTCGTTTTGGTTGTTTGCTTCGTACGGTCGATTGTTTTCAGAAAAGGATGCCGGGATTGTTCGCTTTTTATCGCTTTGGACAAGTGCCCTCACTTTGTTTGTTTTAGGACTACTTCCGAAAAAAAAGAAGCATTTGGATTTGTGCTTTCTGTTTGAGTTGGAGATGGCCATGTTTTGCCTAGTTTCATGTAACATGACCCGTGGACAACCAGAGTTCGGCCGGATTCCGACGGATTCCCTGGTCAAGTACTGGAAGGGGAGAGTAGTTACCAGGCCCTCTCTTTCGAAGCGTCGAAACCTTCTCTCAGGAAGGGCCGCAGCCCAGAAGACCACACGCACACTTAGGGATTCTGCTGGCCTTATTTGTGGGTGGCTCACAAAACTGGGTGCTTGGAAACTCGAAACTTCTCTTTCGCCTTTATTTTGCCGCTCTCGGTTTTCCTTTCACAGCGCCAAAGTAGTCTGGAACGCTCGTTCTCAAGCAATTGCTTTCCACTCCGCATCTTGAGAAGCAGTTGAGCCACTTGATGGTGAACTGCGCTTCCAGCACCACGAGCTCGCCCTTTGCGTTCCTTTTGCGGATTTTGTCAGTGAAGCTCGGATTTCGTCGGAGCCACTCCACGCATATATATATATATATGTATATATCTATATCTACAATATAATATAACATTTGCAAATACATGTATATGTATATATATATATATTTCTAGATAGTATATACTCACTTGCCCAAAGGACCCAGAAATAGAAGGCTCACCTTTTCGGGTCATGACTAAAACTAGACCAAAAAGGAGAAACTAAAAGGTCAAAAGGTCGGCTTTGGGCAACTGAGTATATATATATATATAGCATAAAGCTTGTCACCAACATCAAGCAAACCAAGAACCTGTCACGTGTTCGTTGTCCATACTCGTTCTCCTCGCACTCCTTTCGCGGTCCTTTCACTGGCCTTTCGCTATGCTCGGTTTTCCGTTGGCGGTAGACCCTTCAGGATCACCATTTACATCCTGCTTGCAATTTAGCACGGCCCCCATTTGGCCTCAATAGGGCTTGCCTACCACTGACCTGTGGGATTCTTTGGGAAAGCTGTAGGGTCTCTCATAAGGAGGCCCACCTTTCTTTCCGCGTAGAAGGGTTTCCGCAGAACTTCCTGCGGGGCGAATAGTTGATTCAGAGGTGGTCGAGGGTGGCTTCAGGTTGGTTGGGCTGGGTTTAGGGGTGGCCAAGTATTAGGCTTGGGTTGGTGGGTACTGATGGATTTGCCTTTTGACTGTTGCCCCGAGACGAAACAAGGGCGAGTCTGCAAGAGGGTTCCTACACGGTGAAAAGGCTTCAACTCCATTCTCAACCAAGATGTCAGCCAAAAGGCCGCCCCGCAGATAGAAACAAAAATGGGCCGATTTTTAGAAAGCTCGATTGAAACAAAAAGAAGACACATAGAAAGATAGATAGAAGAAAGATAGACAGGTAGAAAGCAAAACTGACAAATTAGCAGATAGATGGATAAACACAAATATACATTGATAGACACATCGAAAGATAGAATGAAAGACAAACCAATAGATATAGGTAGAGATACATGGATACCTTGATAGATAAACACAAAGCCAGACAAGTGGACATATAGATGTGCAGCAAGATGACTATATCGAAAGACAGTAAGATACAAGGTAGACGGGTAAGTAGAAAGATAAACGGATAGACAAAAATGAAGACAGAGGTCCGTCTCAAGAGATGTCGGGTTTGGGGCAACCCCAAGTAAAACGGGATCTAGGTTGCAGATCTCGGTCTGGAAAGAGGAAGACGGACTACGAGCGTATCTCCGCCTGTGCGTCGAGCGCCAACTCCTTCTGTGACCTGAGGGCCAGGGGTGCTCCGATGTGTTCAACAGGGTCCCATGATGAAAGGCCTCAATGCCAATGGTCGACAAACAAAATACAATGACAAAACATACAATGGCTTAAACAAATACAATGATCAGGGTATAAACAAATGTGAGCAGGTAAAAAAGAGAAGAAAACAAAAAACAAAAACACACACAATGACAGATGGTCATTATGAGCCTTTATGAGCTTTTATAAACCGGGGGCGTGTCCGTGGCAGCATGGAGGGCAAATACCATCTTTGTTTTTTGCCCCTTGAACATGGCCAACCATCCCAAACTTGAGCAACATTGAGGATATGAATAAAGACGAGCCTTTTGCGGCCATGACCAAACATGGACCACAAATGAAAAACCAAAAGGTCAGATCCGGTCGATGATTCGTTTTGGGCAAATTCTCGGAATGAAACATCCGGACAAGTCCAAGGCCTTTGGATCTGCGCCATGGACAACACGTCTGTGGGACATGTCCTTACGCCAAGGGTCGTCTATTGATTGTGACACAGCTTGCACCCTTTCTCCGTAAAAACTGCCAGCCAGGCTCTCAAGTTCCTATGAGCGAGTGCTTCGTTGAACAAATGGTTGCGAGTTGGAATCTAGAACCACAGGAGTTTAATCCGGACAGCTCGTGGCTTCTCTCAAATCAAGACAAGGGGCACAAGGAGCGGAAGGGGCAACAAGAGCTCAGGTCTTGTTTGGGCACAACGAGAAGAGGAGGGGTTTAGGGTTCAGGATTTAGGGTTTAGGGTGGGCTTAAAGGGCAAAATTCAAGGGGAAGTATTCAAAACAAGGAGGGACTAGGGAGGTGATGTGAAGCACATGTAAAACTTGCAGCAGCTCCGCTCGTGACTTTTCGGCCGGTAGGCGAATGCACGACTGACATGGACTTTTCACTGGTCACTTCTGGTCGCTTCGCTGAGTGAAAACCACCAGTTCCCCTGGCTTGCGTCATGGCAACCCAGGAATATCCCCCTGCCCTGGTTGATTGGTGTCCCATTTTAGAGAGGATCTGCGACCTTGATTCCAGGGTCGCCCCGGCGCTTCAGGGCGGCATCTCGGCTCGGTGCTTCGCGCAGAGGCGGCGCAGAGCGTCCGAGGAACCGGCGCGGGCGCGGCCAACGGGCCACTGCTCCAGGATGTACCTGGGGGGTGGCTGGGGGTTGTTGCTTGCCTGGAATTCGGACCCCAGCAAAAAAATACCTTTATTTTTTTGCCCGGTTGGTGGAAAACAAAGGGGACCCCAAAAAAGAAGAAGATCAATAAGGGGAGCTAATTCTGGGGAAGGTTGGTGATGTACCTGTACAGGGAACCACCTCAAACACCAAAGGAAAGGGAGGTTACCATAGGTGACCTGGACACATAGATGGGTTTTCCTGGTAATGGTTTATAAAACCAATCTAAACCACTGGAACCCAGCAGAATTTCTCACCAAACCAACTGATGAAACGGACATCTATGGGGTGGTTGCAGGAAACTGGGGTCCGCTGGGTAGAGATGTTGCCGCCTTGGCAACTGTCAAAAAAAGACAAGCGAAATCAGTGTGGCTGTCTGGCAACATTTAACGCAGACAATTCCCGCAAAAAAGGCTTCTTGGTTTCGTTTTGATTCCCCTGTGAAATCCGCGTTGGTTCGGTTCAACATGTTCAAAACAGTGACCCGTCGCCCCTTTTGCTTCTTTTTTTAACATTCATTTGGCGCCGCGCGAGAAATCCTGACACTGCAAGGACTAAGGCTTCCGGTCATTCGCAGGGAAATCTTGGGTTTAAGAGAAACCTGGCTCGGAACAACCCCACAATCTGATTTTTCACGTGGCTCTTCATTTGGGCAATCCTTTATCTGGGGTTAAAGGATTTGGCCCCCGTGGTTGACCTCTAGACGGAGTATTAAACGGGATGGATTGACTCGAAACAAGCACAGCCTTTACCATTACCGATTCATTGGGGGTTCTCTTTTGTCTCAGTTGAGAGATCCTTGGTTCTAGTCCTAGTGTGGGGTCCCAGTTGAGAGATCTTTGGTTCTGGTCCTAGTTGAGAGATCCTTGGTTCCAGTGCTAGATGAGCAAATCATGAACTGGAGAGGAAAAAGTAGGTCCCTGGTTGGGGGGGGGGGAGCATATGTGTATTTATATACATATATATATATACATACATCCGGACATGTATGCATGCACATGTATGTATATAATGGGATGCACTCTCACGGGTACATGAGGCTCCTTACAACTTGCAGCAGTCGATGGCCTCAGGAGATTCCTCTCAAAAAAACGCAGGGCATCAAATGGCAACGTCGTTTTCGCCTCGAGGTGCCGCCTCGATCTCTCGAAGGTTGGCGGACATGAATCCCAACCATGTCCAATGTCTGCCATTTCGGCTCCGCGGGAGAGCCAATCCGCGAGCCGGGCGAGCCAAGCCGCTCGCGTTTCCCCAAATGGGCGGAGGAGATCCGGGCATCGGCGATGAGGGGCTTCCGGTCGCGCGCAGCCTGCTCTCGGCAGATCGGAGCCCAAATCCATCTGGAGATCTAAAAGGGACACAGAATATGATTCCAAACAGGAAAAGGAATGCCAGAAGCATCCTACCATCAGTGTTCTTGCCTCTGGCTGCAATTTTTCTTTGATTTGACCAAAGAAAAAACGAGCGGAAACAACCCCAGGCAAGGCAATGGTGGTGGAACACGATTGTAACACCAAAGTGGGCATCCCCCCAAAAAAAAAAACTGTAAACTGTGCCCTTGGTATCAACCCCTGCAGGAATCTGCCACGTCATGGACCCAAACCCAGGGGTTTTTCTGTAGAACTTCCCTGCAGATTAACATGGAACCTCCTGGGGGGCTTTTGGGGCTCGATGTCAATTGGCAGCAAGAACAGGAACTCAACTCGCAGCCAACGGGTCCCGGGTCCCGGCTTTGGCGACACGAAGAAGCTGGTGGATGGTGCCGGAGACGGAAGGCTGATACGATAACTTCTTGGAATAGCCCACCATCAGCTGCCACATGTAGCCTGGGCGTGAAAGTGAAGGAACCACTAAAAAGCCAAAAGGGCAAACAAATGAGCCAAGGCGATGTCGCCTGGGCAAACGGACCCAAAAAAAACTGGCCAGGCGATATCACGAGCGGACCGGTGTCCCGGTTTGGACATGGAAAACCGCCCCCGCGAAGCCCCGAGAAACAGGTACATGAGAGCTGGCTGAGTTGCGAGATGGCTTCAGCAAGTTACACAAAGTGAAGGATGATCTCACTTGGCCAGTGGCCAGCCCAAAAAGAAGTGCACACTTTTTGGGTCACCGCCCAAAACAAAGGGACATTGCCACCAAGCAAAAAGGGTCGTAAAGTGCGCCTGGCTGGGCGAGTGATAGCTGAACGCTTCTCAAACCTTCTGACGGAAGGCGCCTCCGGTCGCTGGAGACTTCGTGGCCCCTCAGCCAACAGGGCTGGAACTTGAGGTTCCCCAACCCCCGGCCTGAGACCCGCGGGGGAACGAAGGGGGCGGTCTTTTTTTTTGAGGGAAACTGCCTCAAATCGAGGCAAGTCCGTGCTTGTTTGACTTGGCTGCTGTTACTGTTGAGGCCTCTGCAACAAGTTCTTCACTTTTTGTGAATGAAAATCCACAGTTTGAGGAGTGAAAGTCCAAAGATCCAACCTCCCCTCCAAGAAAAAAACAAACAAAACACCACCGCAGGTCTGAGTAAAATGTCTCACCTGGCAAGGAATTGGGGGCCTGAACACCTCTGTTTCCCTTGTGGTTGGGCCTTTAAAAAACATTGGGCCGAACAACACCTATAGTTCCCAATAGTTCCCCCTCAAAGATCATTTTGAAGGAAACTTGCGTCAAACTGCCCAAACTGATGTTCTTCACCGCCTTTGTGGCAATTCGGCGGATGGTGCCGTCGAGTCGCAGGTGACTGCAACCTCGCTGGTGGCCCAAGTCCACTTCTGAACCGCCCGCTTTGGCAGCTGAGCCAGCGAGCGCCATTCCACCTGCATCGCCTGGGTATGGGTTGGATTTGCACTTTTGGCCATATCATTGGATCGTGTTGAAAGCAAGAATCAGTATAACAGGGTTGTGAGCAATGCAATTTTGGTGGATTCCAGCTGTTCTTCTCCCTGGTCCTTGTAGTGCTCTTTCAATCTCCTACAAGGGTGGTGGATCAACAAGAACTGCATCCATATCGTTTCCTGGATGGGTGTAGGAAAAAGGGAGGGGGGCAGGGATCGGGTCTAGGGCCACGTGGTTTTGGTGACACATCTGCCCTCTTGGACAACTCAATGTTTAGGTTGCTAGACAGAAATCTACATTTTGCATGGAACATATATATATATATAATGACCTCACCAGTTAAGTCCGGTCAAGTGCTTCGTCTCAAAGGACATGGACAAACTATCCGAATCACCCAAACGCATCTCCCTCCCAACCTTCACGCCATGAACTTCACCAACTACCATACGGAACCCGACCTCTCTTTCTGGGCCAAATTTCAAAAGCGTTGATGAATTTCAAGCCACTACTTCACACAGATGAAGGGAGAGTACGACAGAACCTTTGTACACAGATCCGGACTTCCGTTACTCACCGTGCGTATACCACTATGAATGCAACCTACCAAACATTTATTGCAAACATGATGAGACTCGTGAGACGGGTATGAAATTCAGTGCCGACATCATCACGGGCGACGCAAATTCTTGCAACAAACTCAGCAGAAAACAGTTGATTCCACACCCACAAGTCTTCGCACTGAACATTGTCGAGTATGTACCTCGCAGGTCCAGAACATGAACCTGTTCCGATGAAGGATGAATATGGACGGACGAGGTAGATGACGATATATGTCAGAAGGCAGACCACAATTCAGCAAGTGTGAAGCACTTGTTTTCTCGCAGTTGGAAAGTGCTATCAACCAGGCCTGAGCCAAAGATGGCAGCCGGCCGGGATTGCTCATGAATCAAGAGTTGGAATACATTGGCTTGCAAGACAATCTAGGAGACCTAGAATGCGTCAGCTTTGAGAGTAGTCTTGCGTTGGTGTTTCAGGGCTGCGTCAAGAATGGATCTTCTGGATGCTGCACACTCAGCCGAAATCAGGAGTCGTTTTTAGGGATCTCCTTGTTGGTTGTTGCAGACTCCTGCGGTTCCTTCCATGACCTCAGAGGGTGGGTGGAGGGGGGGTGGGACGCTTTTTTGTGTGCGCGCGTTTGGTTTTGTTTGCGGTTGGTGGTGTTTGTGGGTCTTGGGCGTTGCTTTGGGCTTCTTGTGCTTCATTATTACTATTATTAGGCTTGTTGTTAAAAACGTTTTTACTATTAATTTTGGCTTTGCAAAGGTTATTATTTTACTATTATGAGTGGTTTTGGAGGGGGTTTGTGTGTTTAGTGCTGTTTCGTGCGTTTTGTGTGTGGTGTTTGGGGGTGGTTTGGGGGTTTGGGGGGGTTGGGGCCTTGGTTTGTTTGCTTTTTTGGGGGGGAGGGCTTCTTTATGATGTTACTTCTATTCACAGGATGGTTTTGAACATACTGTAAATACAAAAGAAAAAGCGTTCACACATGCACACATCTGTGGAGGTGCACCACTTTTTGCAGAGCATGGCAGGCTTGCTGTTTGCTGCTCGGGTCGCTTCGGTCTCGGCAACCTGCAAACCTGGAGGCCTGTTATAGTATGTCACCAGGGTCCCTTGCTTTCTGTTTAAACCACTTGCAGCATCCCTTGGCCGGCTGCTTTTGCGTTTTCCCTGTAGTAAGAATCGGTGGCGACCGCAATCAAGGTAAGGAAGGCCTTGGCATCAGGATGAATCATTGCCGGATGCGCTGATGATGACGTACACGGATATGTTGGGATTGTACTGGGACTCCGGATCTGGATTGGCCTTTGAGCGGATCAGGCCAAGGAGAACTGAATCGTCTAGGTCGCCTCTCTTCCTCTTACCTTGGTAGATTGGTTGGCCCTCCAGGTTTCCAAGGTTCAATGTCAGGTGTGCATGTCTGGGTTCTCGACAATCACAACTGTTCGGAACTTGAAGCATATGCCTTCAAAGCTGGGGAGTCGTTGGAGATCTATTGGACGTCTGATTGGATAGCTACAATCGGGTTGTGCCCTGACGGTTGGGCCAGCATTCAGAACCTGCGCGCTCGCCTCCCCAGACCCGGGCTGGTGGGGGTCAACTATCCCTCAAACCTCCTCAAGGCCTCAAGCCCCCAAGCCTCCGGCCTCAACTGCCCAGCCTTTGCAACCCTAAAGCAAGCCTCTCTCTCCAAAGCCTCAACCCTTATACAACTCCAAACCCTGTACTGTCCTGTGCTCTTACAACCCTCAAACCTTTGATCTGCTTATACCCTTTTGTTCAATCACGTTCGGGCAGCCAAGGTCCTCCCCCCATTCGCCAAATACCCCTCAAGCCTCAACTCCTCAATGCTTGAAGCCCTACTTACCAACACACACACTACCAAACCGTCAACCCTTCGCAACTCCCAACCCTCAAGCCTCACGACGCTCTAAATAAAGGAATCCTTAGCCCACACAGAAATGCAAATGTGTGCCAATGTCATGAAGCAGAAATAAACAAAACGCTGGAAGAAACGAAACACTTTCTCAAAAGTCAGAGCCGGACATGTCAGGGCCAGGGTTTGCGCACGAAGCGCTCCTCGTCCAGCGCGAGGTAGCGTTGCTTGGCTCAGCTTTGGGGGCTTCTGTCTGATGCCTCCTTGCTGGCTTCCAGATGTTCGCTCTCCTGTCGAAGAGCAAGCCACTCTCCAGAACTAAGTGGGCGCCGGGCAGTTTCCATCGTTTCTTGCAGCCACTCGACACAAGCGCGTGTAAAGGGGTCCTGCATTGATGGCTTCACTGGATGGATCCTGCTGCAGTACATGACCTCTGGCGGCGCGCAGTTCTTCTGGCCAACGTACTGCTTGCACCCAGCCATCATTTTCCCAGCTTGTGGCAGTGTGACCCGCAACTTCCTCATCCCGTTCCTTGCGGTAGCCATCCCATACATGGCCTTCTTGCGCAGCCCCCGTGAGTCTGACTTGCCAAAGTTTACGCTGACATCCGGCCAGGACACAGCGGCGGGCCGCCAGGATTGCATGATACTTCGTGTGAAGTAAAAGACAATCGTTGCAATGGTCAAGAACATCACCGGATTGCGCGTGCTCCAGGTCTTTGTCTGGTGCTGGGCTTAAAAGGGTGTGCGTTGGACATGGGCAAAAGTGATCCTATGTGATACTTCAGCTTGAGCTGATCTGCGACAGGCCCCCATGGTGGCTGTAACAGGCATCCAACGCGAAGCTATGAAGCACAAGGGGAAGTGGATTACGCTTGAACGCCTCAAGTCGAAATCCGCTGGCTAAGCAGTGTTGTGCACCATTCCCATTGCGACATGCCGGGTTGGAAACTTCCGGGCTGGCTGTGTGCCAATTCAACAACCAGCTGGCTATCAAACTGGCTTGAAGGGGATTCTTACATGCAACTTACGGCAGATCTCTTAAACTGTTTTTTCCGGGAATCAACCGGACAATCAACCCCATCCTTCACTGAAAGGGAAGCCACAAACGGGGTGACCTCATGCGACCAAAAGGGGCAAGGTTGCAAAACAACTTGCCCAGAAAAATGCGTCCAGGCCGCAGGTCGTTTATCACCAAACAACTCACAAGAACCGTGGCCAGACAGACCTCCTCAGCCGAACAACAGAGGCAAGGGCCCAGGGTCCCAAAGACGGTGTGTTGCCACGAGTTGAACCACGGGCGCAAGCACCAACACTTACGATCATGTAGAAACACGATACATGCGAAATATGAACTGCAAAAAAGAACACTTTAAAAAACGAGGTCCGCCGAACCACAAGATGTGAGCGCAGGTGGTATCAAAGGAGAAGGTTGCGGCCCAGCAAATGTTTGAGGTTGAAGGCAACTCCGCGAGACACACGCGGAACCTGAATGAAATCCTCTGAGGAAATCCGTTTCCCTCAACTACATAGGTGTCCTGCTTGATTGGTTTGTTGCTGGAAACTAGAGGGCCCTGGTAGATGAAGAAAACACCATTGAAACTCAGAAGCCAGCTTGCTGGCGGTTGGGAACAGCTTCCATTTCAGGCTCAGATTGAGTTTCTTCAATGGTTCAGATGGGCGTTTCTGTGATAGACTGGTAGGACTTCCCCCATTTGCCGCTCAAGAGCAAAAACAAAAAGGCAAAAGGCTGCGCCGCACCCAACTTGCTATGTGTCAAAACCAGGGTGCCCCACCAAAATGGGCCTGCTTCCCAAAATGATTGCTCCTACGCCCTGAGGCATTCCTTTCTACAACCAACCCAAAAGGGGGCCCCAACTTTGGCACACAGCCAACAAATGTAGGGGGCAAAAAAAACTAGAACACTCCCAAAAGGCAGTGTGGCGTAATGAGACCAATACACGCAGACGACGCCCAGGTGAAAATGTGACAATGACAGTCCATGAGGTGGGAGGGATACAACCTGCAGCATGGACGGTGACAGAGTCACCGCAATCACCAACGAGGAGAACGCACGATTTAGCAGCCGATGCCCCAAAACCAACTTACAAGAGGAGTCCAAGGAGAAATAGTTAGTGAGTCCTGCAAAAAAAAATCAACAAAACCTGACTTAAGGAACCCTCCAGATCTTCCCCCTTTGCTTGATAAGCTAATGACGCAGAGAGTAGTCATTTAGCCCTATCAGAAAACCCCTCTCAAATGCTTAAGGGGAACTGCCCTGAAAAGGGCTCCCACGCATCCCCCCTTGCCTCTACTACTCCCTGCCACCTCCCCCAGCTCCTTAGTCGCTGAAGTATCCCCCTTCACGATGGAACCGGCCCAACAAGTGCGACGGGAACGGCGTCCCTTTCCAGACCTGGGCAGCGTGCGAGCAGGTGTAAAAGTGCGCGTGCGTGCGTGCGTGCGTGCGTGCGTGCGTGCGTGCGTGCGTGCGTGCGTGCGTGCGTGCGTGCGTGCGTGCGTGCGTGCGTGCGTGCGTGCGTGCGTGCGTGCGTGCGTGCGTGCGTGCGTGCGTGCGTGCGTGCGTGCGTGCGTGCGTGCGTGCGTGCGTGCGTGCGTGCGTGCGTGCGTGCGTGCGTGCGTGCGTGCGTGCGTGCGTGCGTGCGTGCGTGCGTGCGTGCGTGCGTGCGTGCGTGCGTGCGTGCGTGCGTGCGTGCGTGCGTGCGTGCGTGCGTGCGTGCGTGCGTGCGTGCGTGCGTGCGTGCGTGCGTGCGTGCGTGCGTGCGTGCGTGCGTGTGCGTGCGTGCGTGCGTGCGTGCGTGCGTGCGTGCGTGCGTGCGTGCGTGCGTGCGTGCGTGCGCGTGCGTGCGTGCGTGCGCGTGCGTGCGTGCGTGCGTGCGTGCGTTGCGTGCGTGCGCGTGCGCGTGTGCGTGTGGGTGTGCGTGCGCGTGTGCATATGGGTCTGCCTATGCGTGTGCGTGTGGGTGCGCGTGTGTGTGTGTGCGTTGTGCGTTGTGCGTTGTGCGTTGTGCGTTGGGCGTTGCGCGTTGTGCGTTGCGCGTTGCGCGTTGCGTGTTGCGCGTTGCGCGTTGCGCGTTGCGCGCTGCGCGCTGCGCGCTGCGCGTTGCGCGTTGCGCGTTGCGCGTTGCGCGTTGCGCGTTGCGCGTTGCGCGTTGCGCGTTGTGCGTTGTGCGTTGTGCGTTGTGCGTTGTGCGTTGTGCGTTGTGCGTTGTGCGTTGTGCGTTGTGCGTTGTGCGTTGTGCGTTGTGCGTTTGTGCGTTGTGCGTTGTGCGTTGTGCGTTGTGCGTTGTGCGTTGTGCGTTGTGCGTTGTGCGTTGTGCGTTGTGCGTTGTGCGTTGTGCGTTGTGCGTGCGTGCGTGCGTGCGTGCGTGCGTGTGCGCGTGTGCGCGCGTGTGTGTGTTTGTGTGTGTGTGTGTGGGTGTGTGTGGGTGTGTGTGGGTGTGTGTGTGTGTGTATGTGTGTGTGTGTGTGTGTGTGTGTGTGTGTGTGTGTGTGTGTGCGTGCGTGCGTGCGTGTGTGCGTGTGTGCGTGCGTGTGTGTGGACCTCCCTAGTTCATGGGAGCATAGCTTCACCGCTTGTGCATACCTGAATACGCAGGCGGCACGGTGCTTGATTTCCAAGCCGTGCCAACGAAGCTACGGAAATCAGGTGGATGAGATGTTGGACGCAACATCTTGTACCTGCAATTCGAGTGGACCCTTTGTTTCCCTTGCTGTCTCGTGTTCAAACAGGAGCTTTTGGTGACTGACATCCGATCGTCTGGCATTCATGAAGCTGGAGGTGTGTATGTTCTCGGCACGTCCGTCAAGGCGCCGAGTAAGACGGGTTACCATGCCCAGCTCTCCTGAGCGAGAGATCAATCAACCAACCCTTGAACTGATGGCACTGCTGGGTTTGCTACAAAGCCCCCCAGAGTGAGCCTCTCAGAGCCTCCTACGTTTCACCTCAATCACCGTTCAGCGCTCGACTGTTCCGTTCAGATTCAGATTTCAGCATTCAGACCCGTGTCGGTTCCCCGAGGCTTGAGGTCAGGTTTGTTTGAAGTTCTCCAAGCGTTCCGTCTCCTCATTCGGAATCACAAGCAGTCAAGGGATCTTCACCTGGACCTGCTCTACGGCAACTACCGCTCACTTTCTCCCGACTACAACATCCGACGTGGATGACTTACTCTCTCATGCTTTGACTCCCTTGATAGGCTTGAGGCAGGGTTTTCGTTTGCGCGTTTTTGTTCAGGTCTTGTCCTGTCCCGTGTTTCCCTCCTTCATTTCGGAAATCAACATTCGGTCCTCGTGCCATACCAGTGAACGGCATCATCAGACCTAGTGTGATTGAAGTTCCCCTTCAAACCTTAAAGGGCTGCATGGATGTTCTTGACGTGGTGTCGTGTACGGACGCGCCTTTAACCTGGTTGGAAGAAGCACCAAAAGGCGACGGGCAAAAAACGCTCTCCGTCGCAGGAGAAGGCAAAGACCTGGAGCGCGCGCAATCCGTTGATGTTCTTGACCGTTGCAACGATTGTCTTTTACTTCACACGAAGTATCATGCAATCCTGGCTCGCATGTCAGCGTGAACTTTGGCAAGTCAGACTCCCGCTGCAAGAAGGCCTGTGTGGGTTGGCGACTGCAAGGAAATGGATAAGTTTCGGGTCACACCGCAACAAGCTGGGCACATTGCCCAAAACTGCACGCTGCCAGAGGTCATGTGCTGCAGCAGGATCCATCCAGTGAAGCCATCAATGCAGGACCCCTTCACTCTGATAGCCTTCGGAAAACTTGGACAGGAGAGCGCCTTGTGCTTGCTGAAGCCGTCTCACTTGGCATACGTTGGCTTTTGCTCTTTGGAGAGCGCGGAGCAGTTAGGTGCTTTCATCGCAAAGCAGGCTGCGTTGCCAGACTTAGCTTGATTTGTCCTTGATTTTGCCGTAAGTGGGTCTAAGCCGGGCCCAGGACGCAGTGGAATGGCACCAGCAGCTGACGCAGGAGGTGTCCAAGCTATCTGCGTGAGCTTGGCTCAGCTTTGGGGCTGTCAGCTAGCTGCAGCGCGTGTCCCACCCAGCTCGGGTTGCCGCGCGGCATGGCCGGAGGAAGGGGGAAAAGGCGCGAGAAAATGTGGGGAGCCAAAAGCGCTTCGGATCGGCCCCAATTGAAGCAACCACGAAACCTTCAGGTTTTTCACGGGGACATATTGGATTACGCTCGGCGCCACGTGCGAAGCCCGTCCGACGTCCGATGAGACCCGGCAGACCGGTCGCAGAAGGGACACCCTCCACAACCGCCACTGGAGAAGCATCGGCAGTTTTGAAGGCTCACGAAGCACGCTATGGGTGTGTGCTCTGCGCCAGGCAGAACAAAGTGAAGTTTCAGGAAAACAAACGGTAAAACAAAGCATCAATTGGACAAGCCAAAAGTCAGCAAAGGCAAGACGCCAAAACCGCCAACTGCTGTGAGGAACGTTGGGGGGAGGAGGGACAGGTTTGAGGGTTGAGGGTAAAAGGCACTTGCAGGAGTTGGGGTTTGAGGGTTTGAGGTTTGAGGGGGTTGAGGGGAGGAGTTGAGGTTTGAGGGTTCTAAGAAAGTTTCAGGAGGTGAGGTTTGCGGGTTGAGGGTGGGAGGCTTTCAGGAGTTGAGGTTTGAGGCTTTGAGGCTTTCAGGAGTTGTGGAGGGTTGAGAGGAGTTGAGGTTTGAACCAAGCCTCAAACCCAAACCCCCAAACCCCCAAACCCCCAAACCCCCAAACCCCCAAACCCCCAAACCCGCAAACGCGCAAACCCGCAAACGCGCAAACCCGCAAACGCACCAACCCACAAATCCGCAAACCAAGCCCTCAAACCCCCACACTCTGCCCCCCCCCCCCGACCCCCAAACCTCCAAAATTAACGAT